GAAACTGGCGGAAATAGAGTGGTGAGTATCGATCAGTTGCATGCATTTTAACGAGGGCTATGGGTTTACCGAGCTTGCAGTCTACTTTATCTGCCGACCGGCTCTAGACCAAACGAATGATATGTGGCGAACTGTCAAGGACAAGCCTCCTGGGTTCAATTACTTTGCCCCCTAGGTTCGAACAGGCGGTAGAATAGCGTTTTTGATGACAATCCAGTCCACATGGCGGAACAGAGGATAGGAGAGCACGGAGGGCTGATATGACTGTCGAACTGGTTTGTTGTTTGGGTGAGGTGGCTTGCAGCCTGATATTAACAGTTCCATCTGTGGGCATTTTTTGATGTGATGCTTATCCTTCCGTCTATTGTCTGGAGGATATCAGCTCGCAAGCTGACAGTGACCAACTTCTGACCCACCTCGAAGGTCAACAGATTCAGACCGTTTTCAGTCCCAATGCCAGTATCTTCCTTCAGTTCCTAGTGATCCATAACTATGGGAGAACTGACCTGGGAATATCTGAGAGCCTCTATGTCTCGAAGCAGAGACTGGGGAAGGACATGTTTCGTGTGAGATAGCTCCCGGAAGAACTGGTTTATTTTCCACAACTGAATCTGGGTTAACTTTTGGCAACTTTGGTGACGTCTCACGCACCTTGATTCAGATTCATGTAGTGAATTGTTTGAACTCACTAAAAATTCATCCCATAGCATAGCGTTTTTGTCACAGTTTGAAAAATGCTTGAGATCTCCATCCGGAAAAAAATTGCAAAGTTGGTGCTTTCACTGGAAGGTCAATTGTATTGTGAGCTAACCATTTGTTTTTAATGCAAGCTTTTAGTTACCCGTGGAGAATGTGAGCACCTCTTAAATATGTTCGTGAGAATAAATAACAAACGATCCTTCGCAAATTTGGATCGACTCAAATTCCGTGAAACGTTGCACCATTTGTTTAACATTACCGATGATTTATTGTTGGATGGAAGTAAATATTTCAAGAAACACTGATTTTTTTTAGTTTTCCGGGCATTTGATTACAACAGTGAAGGGGGGATTACACCCTCGAAATGGATCAAAGGATTATCCGTATTCCTTCGTGGCACTCTGGAAGAAAAAGCATTATGTATGTAGCCACTCACCACCAACGCTTTTTAAGTTGCTTTTAAGGCGTATGATTTTAACTCTGATGGCATTTTGACGCGCGAGGAAATGTTCCTATTGCTGAAGTCCTCACTTGTAAAGGTAGGTAACTTTCCCAACCCTTCGTTGTTGTGACACTCATGCGATCTCCAAAAGTGATCTTAAGCTCAGAAAGACGGTATCTGACAAAATGAACTTCGTGTTCTGATACTGATTTCTGTGTTTGGCATGTTCGTTGCTAAATTCGTCCCTAAATCGATCGAAACCGGCCAAAATTTATCTCAAGCTTATGCTACACCGGTGTGGAATTTTGGTGTAGGCGTTTTCTTCATTATTTAGTTTCTTATGAGACACCCGGTTTTGTCCTCGGCCTGTAGTGGTTAACGGCCCTACGGAGTCTCTAGTGAACTGAACAAATTA